TGGAGAAAAAGAGTAGTTTTGTGGTTGTGGATAATAGGGAAGGAGGCAATGGATCTATGGTAGTAGAGGGTTGGAGGGGCTGTTTCAAGAGGCGGAAGGGGAAGTGTAACCAGCTGGGATAGGGGTTCCTAAGGGGAATGAAGAAGTTGGGGAGCCAAAAGAGGGTTGGGAGAGGGAGACGGTGTAGAAGCCCTTGTGTTTGATAAAATACCTGTGTGAAACATTGCCATATTGTTGGGTATTTTAGAGTTGAAGGGTCATTTTAGTTCACCAGGTTTGAGTTGTTATGTTTGAATAAATTTCCATCACAAATCCAAGACTTGCATTTTAATTCTCCTTTATTGCATTGTAAAATTGATTCATTGTGTACACAATTTGTAAAGGATTACATAACTTCTCAAAATATATTATCACGCATCTGTTGTTAAACTATGATGGTGAAACTGTACACAACCTATATGTGCAAAACTTTGGTGAATTTCAGATTTGTATTGGACTCGTTTATTGAATTAGAACAACGGCAAGACAAATAAGATATAATCCTCGTTTGGGGTTTAGCATTTTTAGTGAATTTTTGACTTTTTGAGTATAACAAAAAAGTTAATGTGTTTGGGAATAACTTTTTTTAGTTGTATTAAAAAACTTGAATGACTAGTGTGTTTGATTTGATTTTTTTAGTAATTTTGACTTTTTGGTCTTTTTAGTAGCTTTTTGCCTTTATTAGTCAAAAAGCCAAGGTGCCAAACGGGGCCATAATTTGAATGTCAAGTGTTTGGTGGACTGTATAGAGATAATTGTGTAGACCTACATTGAGGAGGATGAGATCCTGGTCCACAAGATTAAGCATGGTATGCTCTTTTGTATTCATGGCTTCCAATGAAGGGTTTTGTTTCAACTACTTGCATTACAGGCTAAATATGTGACCTTCAAGGCAGTCTCTTTTGTATGCCCATGCCTATTTGGATTGCACCTCTTCTGGTGCTATTTAGTGATAGCTTTATTTGTTACTAAGAAAATAAATAATAGTTTTTGTTTGAATGAGAATTTGTGGAGTCTGGTAGGCTTTGACAAAATTTACTGAAATAATTAAAAACATTTAAAAAATTTAGTCTGTCAAGATTTAACCTAATATAAGGCAATTCAAGACTTGTTTAAATTTAGTATGGTCCTTGGCATCAACTGTAAATTCATTGCTTTGGAACCATCTTTGTGAGTGACTTCTTTTCTAGTATGATCCTTCTATTTTCATTCTGTCAGTGGTGGGCCCATAGTTTTTCTTTTCTTCTACAGGAAAACAATTGTACTTGCCACTAGTGTCGTGGTTCCTGGTGGGACAGTTGCATACTTGCGATCAAGATATTGTGGCAAAAGGCCTGATTGTTTTGGTCACTACAATGGGCTCAGTGATAATAAAGAACAATTAGAGAAGGTGGTTGGGAATGAAAATATTGTAAAGAAAAGTAGGCAAAAAAAGAAAGGTGGATTGAAGTCACTTCAGGTTTTAGCTTCAATTCTTCTATCTCATATGGGGTGAATTGGGGCAAGGGATCTTCTCTCTTTATTGGGCATAGTGGTAAGCCTCTTTTGACCATGCCTGCATTTTGTGGTTTAGATATGCTATGTTCTGTTTACTCATATTGCTTTTTTAGTGGATTTATGTGTCTCATGTGTCTGAAACTAGTGTCTCCTCAAAATACTATATCTGGTGACTTTGATATGCTGCTCTGTTTCCTTCATTACTTTCTGGTGATTTCTGCTTTATTCCCTTTATGAATGCTGTTGAAAGGGTTGTTAATATTTGTTCCATTAGATATTCATTTGAATACTTACTTTGCAAGAATTATAATTGAATAAACAGAAACATTTCAAGATGCTTGGAAATTTGCAAGATGATCAAAAACGTTAAACAGGATTGGTGAGTGCAATGCATTTACCTATAGAACTAGTATATTAATATGTATTATTATTATTATCATTATAAGGAAAAAATTATTAAGTGCCAACAGCAGGGTGCAACCATGCAAACTTTTATAGACCGAGACAAAACTATATTGACTATAATCTACAGCTATGAAGCACGGATACTTCAAAAAGGATGACGTATCCGTATCGGATACTTATCGGATGCCAATACTCCTCGGATACTTGCGGATACGTATCGGATACTTCTTAAAAGTATTGGATATTTCTTAAAAGTATTGGATACTTCTTAATTAATTTTTTATTAATTTTGAAGTATCGGATACTTAATTTTGAAGTATTGGATACTCGAAGTTACATATTACTTATAATATTTTGTTTAGTTCTTTGATAAGAGGAATATAGTGCGAGTTAAAGTAATAGAATTTGTCAAATTGATGTATCCTTGTTGTCTCTCTCACTTCTCTCTCAATTTCTCACTCTCTCACGTTTCTTTTCTCTGCTCTCATTCTTTTTTTGGTGTTGGCATGTAAGGATAATGTTTAATTTACATTTGCATTTGCATTTACTTTTGCTTTTAGTTTTGGATGTTTTATGAATGTTTGAGCACTTTTAGGTTAATAGGAATCCCTCTCTTTATTTATTGGAATCAGGCACAAGGTTGTTGTATGTGGGTGTATTTCGGTATCAGTTTCAATAGAGTTAAAAGAACTGAATTTACTCTTCCTTCATACCATTTAAATGATAAATCATAGTCTTCAGTCTTGATGAATGTATCCCCGCTGTACCCGTATCATACTTTTTCAAATTTTGACATATCGCCATATCCACATCCCCATATCACCATATTCGTATCTGTGCTTCCTAGGCTATCATTGATGACTTAAAAAAGTATATTTGCTGAAATTTTTATTTAAGAATGGTTTTTTGGCTTTGGCTTTAGCTTTAGCTAAGGTCTTGTGATATTCACTGATGAAGGGAACAAGTTGAACCTATTGACCTTGAAGACTCTTAGTTTTGTAGGAATCTTTCTTCTTTATCAAGTTGTCTTTTGCTTTAAGTTTTATTTTTATGCATACTGCATTACTAAAAATTGTTAAAATAATATTTTTTACGAACGTATCCCCGCCATACCTGTATCCTAGTTTATCCGTATCCGTGTCCCATATCCGTATCCGTGCTTCCTAGATCTACAGGTATATACAATTCTCCCAAAAGTCAGCAATCAACAAAAAACAGCAAGGGACAGACTCTCTTGTCAACAAAATCAGGTAAATGTGCAACTTTTTCCTCAGACAATGAATCAAAAGCTCAACCTCCTCAAAGACCTACAATGTCTTTCCATCCAAATACTTCATATAACTCATAAAAGAGTGGTCTCTTACACTTTCTTTTCTTTCTTTCTTTGGCAACTCTGAGCCCAACATGCGAAAAAGATCTGCAAATTTCAGCATTTATAGAATGAAACCCCCAACATCGAAATTTCAGCTTTCATCTATTGTGTGTTAGGTAGCTAGACAGCCAACACGTTAAAACCCCGTTGGATCCTGTATGAACATGAATCCGAATACAAACATTTGGTACCTAATTTAATTGAGCATACGGCTCTTGACAGAACAAAATGGAGGAAAAAAAGATTCATGTAGCCAACCACAATTGATTGGGACGCAAGGCTTTATTTTGTTACTTTTAAATGCTGAAGCCCTTGACTGTTTTGTGGCATTTAAAGGTACTCTGTAAATATGTGCTTGTTGGCTGTACATGTCTCTATCTTTTGAAAAACTGTATCTATACTTTGTCGGAGAAGAAAACCATAATAAACTTGTAGATAGACTAATAATCTATAAGATATTCTTGGAATTTGGTTTTACGTTTTTCCTTTGTATGTGAAGAAAATGCATCAGAATCTCATATTAATTATGCTAGGAACACTGGGGTTTTGGTAAATAGACCATTTGCCTAAGTTGTAAATTTAGTGTTCACATTTCCTTTTTTAGAAGGGAAACTCTATACCCACTTCCTCTCGCTGCACCCACCAAACAATTTATAACAAAATTAATCCCATCCTCGGATCATACTCATGTTTTTTTTTTTTTGGTACACTTACTCATTCTCTCACCACCTGTCAGACCATCATAGACCACCAGCTGGCTGGTCACCAATGCTCATCCGGCCGCCCACTGCCAGTCAGACCATTGTAGACCACCGACTAGCTTGTCATCGATGATTGTCCTCCACCCACCTCTGGTTAGCCCACTGCTCCATTGCTGACAATTCCCAGTTTGAAATTTTAGGGTTTACAGATATTAGTTTATTGTAAAATGTTGTTTATTGTTTTGAACAGTTTGGGAGTTTTTTGAGAATGAGAGTTTTTTGGGAGTAGTTTGATGTAGATCCTTTCATTTTGGAAAATGGGAGAAAAACCTCCATTCGACCTTGGTTCACTGAAAAAACTAAGATTGTTTGGTCTTAGCCAAGTAAGATCGTCAACCATATCAAGTATGTCTGGGCTTGGTTGGTTCAACAAAGTTTTAACCTGGAAATAGGTTTTAAAATCACCAATTATGTAGAAAAATATGCACATTTTTGTTACTAGAATCCTCCATTACTCAAATAAATATGAATTATACAACAATGACCATAGTTTATGAGATTGGTTGTGATTTTTGAGTGAGATTAAAAATAATAGAGATAGGGAAATTGGGAATGAAAATATTGTAAAGAAAAGTAGGCAAAAAAAGAAAGGTGGATTGAAGTCACTTTAGGTTTTAGCTTCAATTCTTCTATCTCGTATGGGGCGAATTGGGGCAAGGGATCTTCTCTCTTTATTGGGCATAATAGTGGTAAGCCTCTTTTGACCGTGGCTGCATTTTGTGGTTTAGATATGCTATGTTCTGTTTACTCATATTGCTTTTTTAGTGGATTTATGTGTCTCATGTGTCTGAAACTAGTCTCCTCTCAAAATACTATATCTGGTGACGTTGATATGCTGCTCTGTTTCCGTCATTACTTTCTGGTGATTTCTGCTTAATTCCCTTTATGAATGCTGTTGAAAGGACTGTTAATATTTGTTCCATTGGATATTCATTTGATTACTTACTTTGCAAGAATTATAATTGAATAAACAGAAACATTTCAAGATGCTTGGAAATTTGCAAGATGATCCAAAACGTTAAACAGGATTGGTGAGTGCAATGCATTTACCTATAGAACTAGTATATTAATACGAATTATTATTATTGTTACAGCACCCAATATTTAATGGATTCAGTGATGGATATTTTCATGGCTGGAAGTTTGGAATAATTAGATGTTTAGATGACCTATAAGTACATAGTATTAACTGCTGGCCATCATTCATAGTGTATCTAGAGATCCAGTTCTGATTCAGGCATACAAGAGACTACCTTCAATCTTGTGAAAACATACTGTAGATCTTGAACTTTATAGCATGTCCTTGTAGCAAGTACATTTAGTTGGTAACAAAGTAAAAGGATTAGAAAGAAAACAGTTTTTGGGTCTCACTTGGAAACTGGGGCCTTATAAACCATCAAAATGTCCCAAGAAAATCAGAGTGCTCAACATTTATTGATAGTTCCAATAGCACACCATTGAATTTAGGAAAGGCTGTCAACGCATTAAGATAATCATAGCACATATATTGTAGACTAAGGCATGAATCCAATTTTATTGAAAAAAACCCTATTGCAAATATCTCTATGCAAGTGAGATTCTCACTAAATGAAGCATTGACTAATCCAAAATTTCAATATAAAACTAAGATACTCAAGAACTAGAAATCAAATCTCAATCTTGAACCTATTGCCATGCCTACACAGAATCGTCAATACTTTTTTTTATCATAAACACACAAAGTTAGCTCTTTTACCTAGCATTCAATGCAAAGGATTACAAAACTTCTCAGAATATATCACGCATCTGTTGTTAAACTATGATGGTGAAACTGTACACAACCTCTATGTGCAAAACTTTGGTGAATTTCAGATTTGTATTGGACTCGTTTATTGAATTAGAACAACGGCAAGACAAATAAGATATAATCCTCGTTTGGGGTTTAGCATTTTTAGTGAATTTTTGACTTTTTGAGTATAACAAAAAAGTTAATGTGTTTGGGAATGACTTTTTTTAGTTGTGTTAAAAAACGTGAATGACTAGTGTGTTTGATTTGACTTTTTTAGTAATTTTGACTTTTTGGTCTTTTTAGTAGCTTTTTGCCTTTATTAGTCAAAAAGCCAAGGTGCCAAACGGGGCCATAATTTGAATGTCAAGTGTTTGGTGGACTGTATAGAGATAATTGTGTAGACCTACATTGAGGAGGATGAGATCCTGGTCCACAAGATTAAGCATGGTATGCTCTTTTGTATTCATGGCTTCCAATGAAGGGTTTTGTTTCAACTACTTGCATTACAGGCTAAATATGTGACCTTCAAGGCAGTCTCTTTTGTATGCCCATGCCTATTTGGATTGCACCTCTTCTGGTGCTATTTAGTGATAGCTTTATTTGTTACTAAGAAAATAAATAATAGTTTTTGTTTGAATGAGAATTTGTGGAGTCTGGTTGGATTTGACGAAATTTACTGAAATAATTAAAAACATTTAAAAAATTTAGTTTGTCGAGATTTAACCTAATATGGAGCAATTCAAGACTAGTTTAAATTTAGGATGGTCCTTGGCATCAACTGTAAATTCATTGCTTTGGAACCATCTTTGTGAGTGACTTCTTTTCTAGTATGATCCTTCTATTTTCATTCTGTCAGTGGTGGACCCATAGTTTTTCTTTTCTTCTACAGGAAAACAATACTACTTGCTACTGGTGTTGTGGTTGCTGGTGGGACAGCTGCATACTTGCGATCAAGATATTGTGGCAAAAGGCCTAATCGTTTTGGTCACTACAATGGGGTCAGTGATAATAAAGAACAATTAGAGAAGGTGGTTGGGAATGAAAATATTGTAAAGAAAAGTAGGCAAAAAAAGAAAGGTGGATTGAAGTCACTTCAGGTTTTAGCTTCAATTCTTCTATCTCGTATGGGGCGAATTGGGGCAAGGGATCTTCTCTCTTTATTGGGCATAGTGGTAAGCCTCTTTTGACCATGCCTGCATTTTGTGGTTTAGATATGCTATGTTCTGTTTACTCATATTGCTTTTTTAGTGGATTTATGTGTCTCATGTGTCTGAAACTAGTCTCCTCTCAAAATACTATATCTGGTGACGTTGATATGCTGCTCTGTTTCCGTCATTACTTTCTGGTGATTTCTGCTTAATTCCCTTTATGAATGCTGTTGAAAGGACTGTTAATATTTGTTCCATTGGATATTCATTTGATTACTTACTTTGCAAGAATTATAATTGAATAAACAGAAACATTTCAAGATGCTTGGAAATTTGCAAGATGATCCAAAACGTTAAACAGGATTGGTGAGTGCAATGCATTTACCTATAGAACTAGTATATTAATATGTATTATTATTATTATCATTATAAGGAAAAAATTATTAAGTGCCAACAGTAGGATGCAACCATGCAACCTTGAATGTAAATCTTTGATGCTTAGGTCTTTATGTAAAGTGTATATGGACTTGCTTGGGTATGAGTTTCTTATTTTGTTCTTTATGGTTTTGCTGAGAAGGATCTTCTAGAATTTGAACCCAGCTTGTGAGGTGGATATCATGATTCATTCTTAAATGGATGCTACAGTTGTAGAATAGTTTGGGTTTAATGTTCCTGAACTGTTTTATTTTTTGTAATATTATATTTTATTTTTATTTTACCTTTCTCCTTAAGACATGAACAAATAATTTCATAAATGTTTGAAAATCTTGTCTAGGTTGACAATTCATCCAAGCCAATTTAATTTTAGGAGAATAGGGAAGAAATGCCTTTATAAGATTAAGAAAAATAGAGAAAGGGAAAGAATTGGGTGGTTGGAAAGAAATTTAATTAATTTTCTTCTTCAAGTGTAATTTTGCTTGGGGGTAAAAATGTTAGAAACATTTTCGTTGATTGATCAGTGTAAAGATTTAAAAGATGCAGTGTAGTTAGAAGTCCAAATCACAGTCAAAATTCAATTGAGTAGTTATTACTCAATTTTCAATCACACCAATTCTTAATATGTGCTACCTTGACCACAAATAATGTCAAACTCAGACCTCATAAGGACAGACATGGAATACATAATCTATAGTTGTGAGTGCATTTGAGGTTTATTAGGCAATAATTTTGGAAAGATGGTGTGCACTATCATGCATTGGTTCAAATGGCAACCTAAAGAATATAAATTTTAGAATCTTTACTTTTGTTTTCATAATAAGGTAAGTGTTATGTACCATAATTATTTTTTTTATTTTTTATTTTTTTTATATTTAATTGGAAAAGGATAAGATTGTTGTTTTTGTTTAAACATAAAGCTTTCTTTTTGGTAAAAAAAACAGTATGTAATGACAATGGATAGTGTTTCATTTTAATTTTCTGTTTATTTTTAATTGGAAGAAACTATTGTTGGGTTTTGAAGATTTGTATGTTTGGTTTTAATTTTTTTGTCTTTTTACGCGCCGGCTGAAACTATCGAAACTTAAATGGATCTTTCCATTTGATTACGATTATCTGTAAAACATGAGTTCGAATCATGGAAAGGATTGGTTGCTGCCTTTAATTTAATGTTTGCTTTTTTGTACCTTTTTGCAGGTGTTGCGAACTGCTTTAAGCAATAGATTAGCAAAAGTGCAAGGATTCCTATTCCGTGCTGCTTTTCTTCGACGTGTGCCAACTTTTTTCCGTCTGATTTTGGAAAATCTTCTGCTGTGTTTCCTTCAGTCAACCTTGCATTCTACATCGAAGTACATAACGGGGACCTTAAGCCTGCGGTTCAGAAAAATATTGACAAAGCTTATTCATGCACAGTATTTTCAGGTAGTTATTGACACAAATGTTACTGGCAGACTACTATATCTATCGTTCAATACCTATTGTTTCCGTGGCTGCTTATTTTAATCTCTTTTGATTAGTTGGATTGATTGTTTTTTCCCCATCACCAATTGTTTTTTCTAGTTCAGTTATTTCTCCTCTACATGGTGCTGAGTGTACACATAGCATTGCATTTTGGGCATCATCAATGCCCTGTGCAAGTTCTCTCATATTGTTGGCAGTTGGTTGTTCACTTGTTAGATCTGCATTTGTTCTTCTGTATGATGAATGCAAACCTGTAACCAATAGGGAGCTGTAGACCTATCCCTTTGCAAAAGAGCTCATGTAAGTAATGTAGCCTAATTTTCCTATAAGAACTACCCTCCAGTTGCTATTTATGCCTTCATAATTAATCATAGCATTACTACTTTTTTCACTGCTCAAGTGGAAATTGACCTGAGGATGGGTTATTTTTGAAATCTCTGTGCAGAGACAGCTGCACAAGCTAACCTGGCTTTTGCTTTGAAATAATGTAATGTTACGGGTGTAAATCGGGTGTGTTTAGTTGTGTTGAAGGTCTGTCCAAACCTAGCTTGAAAAATAGGGGTATCACATAAGCCCATGTTGAGCCCAATGTCACGTACCGACTCATTGGTAATGTGAGTTCTACACCAAGCATCTTGCAAGCACATAAGTGTGTGAGTAGCAAGGCAGACAGGGTAGATCCTTATCGCATCACCTGGGTTGGATCCTTGGGCTTAATGCACGGGGTACCACTTGTGGAGCCGGCTTCTCGGGAGGATGACAAGCGCCCAGTCCATGAAAAGTGGTATCAAAGCCAACCTAGGGGCACTGTAGCGGGAACGGTACGTGGGACTTACACCAAGCACCTTCATTGTGGGGTCCGAGCCAAGGGTGGTGTCTGCGTTGGGCGGGTTCCCATGGTAGGGGAACAGACAAGCATGAAGGCAAGTAGGGTAATGTCTCCCTAATGAGGGCGTTAGGGATTGGCGATGGTAGCATGCCACGTATTGACTCATTAGTAATGCGAGTTCTACATCAAGTACCTTGCAAGCACATAAGTGTGTGAGCAGTAAGGCAGACAAAGTAGATTCCTATCGCATCACCTAGGTTGGATCCTTGAGCTTAAGGCACGAGGGTATGCAGTACCATTCGCGGAGCCAACTTCTCGGGAGGATGACAAGCGCCCAGTCTGTGACGCCGAGCTTGCTTGCCAAAGCCAGACGTTGATCTTAATTCAATGAGGTTGGTTTGACTAAATGAAGTCAAAAAATTTGGAGCTTTACAGGCACGCACATATTAGCAAACAATAAATACATACATTTAGATGGTCAAACAAAGTATGTACATATAGATAACATTCATTTGTTGCTCTCTGTTTCTCTCTCTCCCTCTTTCTCTCTCTCTCTATATATATATATGAAAATTGTTATTTGATGACAATTAGTCAATAATAACAAGGATGAGACTGATGGGTCAAACTTACTTAAGACGAAGAGAACAATGGAGCCTCATAATTTGGTGAACTAGTCACTTTTGACTGGATATACTTTCCCATGAATGCATTTGCTTTCTGTGTTGTTTATTCATCTGTTATCTGTGTTTCAGAACATGGTATACTACAAAATGTCACATGTTGATGGTCGGATAACTAATCCTGAACAACGGATTGCAAGTGATGTACCACGGTTCTGTTCCGAGTTGAGTGATATTGTTCAGGATGATCTCACAGCAGTCACTGATGGTCTGCTCTATACTTGGCGCCTATGTTCATATGCAAGCCCAAAATATGTTTTCTGGATATTGGTAAATCTGCATCCTTGGACTACTTTAACTTGTCAACTTGATTTGTGGGCGTTGATATTAGATGCTTTTGTAAAATTATTGCTCAACATTGCATTCCTCTTAGTGATTGATTTTTAAACTTATCATGATAATTATTTCAGTTAGTAGTTTGTCATCTCAAAATAAATTGTTTCTTTCCAGGCTTATGTTTTAGGGGCAGGAGCCATGATCAGAAACTTCTCTCCTTCATTTGGGACACTAATGTCTAAAGAACAGCAATTGGAAGGGGAGTATAGGCAGGTTCACTCACGATTAAGGACTCATGCAGAGAGTATTGCTTTTTATGGTGGTGAAACTAGAGAGGAATCCCATATCCAGCAGAAGTTTAAGACTCTTGTTCGGCATATGCGTGTTGTTCTTCATGACCATTGGTGGTTTGGCATGATCCAAGATTTCTTACTAAAGTATCTTGGTGCTACTGTTGCTGTTATCTTGATTATTGAGCCGTTCTTTTCTGGTGATCTAAGACCTGATACTTCAACTTTAGGACGGGCGGAGATGCTGAGCAATCTAAGATATCATACTAGTGTTATAATATCACTATTTCAGTCCCTGGGAACTCTATCCATTAGTCAAAGGCGGCTTAATCGACTTAGGTATTACGCGATATTCAACATTTTAGGGTGAAACACTTTCAGATGGTTATTATCTTAAGTTATAACTTTCTCATTTCATCACCAAATATCTGCAAATTTGGTGGATTGAAGAATTTATACTTTAATTCATTGTTCAGATTCTCGCTCACTTTTTCTCTTCTGCGACTGAATCATTTCAGGCAGGTTGAATTTTAAACTGAATTACTGGACACAGGTGTTTTGTTTTGGAATGAATCTCCTTAGATGCCAACTGTATTTTATGCTGAATTTTGATGAATTCTGATGGACCTGCAGTAATTTGTTGTGATGTATTTGCAGTTACTAATTTCCTGTTAGATTTTAAAGGCAATAGAACATAGTGGAAAGAATGAAGCATGCTCAGACAGTTTGTCTTTTGGTACCTTACTTTGTGGTCATTTATAATATGCAGTGGTTATGCTGATCGCATTCATGAACTGATGATTGTATCAAGAGAGCTAAGCATTCAAGATACATCTTCTCTACAAAGAACAGGGAGTAGGAATTATGTTAGTGAAGCTAATTACATTGCGTTTGATAATGTGAAGGTACTTGAAAAATTATTTGGAGACCTTGCCCTGTTTTGGGATCAATTTGTGTTACCCACCTTCTTATAGTTTTGTTGTGCCTTCCACAGGTTGTTACTCCAACTGGTAATGTTTTGGTGGAGGATTTGACTCTAAGGGTTGAATCAGGATCTAATCTATTGATTACAGGTATTTTCTTTGACTTGAACATGATCCATATTTTTTGCATGTATTTTGTTATTTTTTCATCAGCTTGTCTTTGTAAATGCGGTTCACTTTTGCTCCACCATGAAATATGAGAGAATATTTCTTGTATGGATTCATAATACAGGTTTGATACTTCATTGTAAGCTCTCTCTCTCTCTCTGGAGTAGGTGGGGGTCATTGTTGGCTGAGCTACAGGGTTTGACTGGTTGTTGGGGCTTAGTTAATATTGTTAAAAATGAATTGTTCTGCATTTTATATGTTGTGTTTAGTATTGGCTAGGCATTGGCTTTTTTCTTTGGTCAATTGCTATTGTAAACTGTTTTGCGTCTATCCACTGGTTTTTTTTTTTTTTTTTGACTTTCGTTTTCTAGCGTACCAAATGCTATAAAAGTGCACAAAAATTGATTTCCAAAAAATGTTTTCTACCCAAAGAAACAAAATGTTTTTAAAGTTGAGTCTAGCTATTGGAATTGTTCAGTCTGGTATTTTCTGACATTCAAATCTAATTCTCCAAAAAGTAAGCAAACTGTCATTGAGCTCCAAACCTAACCTTTGTCAACTGTTGTGAAAATTCCCTAAGACATGAATGCAGTATGAAAGTGTATTTGTCATGCATTTCTTGTGTTTTATAGTAAAAAATGATTGAAAAATCAAATAAAGCTATCAGATAATATTTGTGCAATGTTCTTGGCGGTTTTTGTTTTAGTAAATTTAAACAAATGCAAGATGAATGGTAAACTAAAAGTTTGAAGAGAGGCTCTAGAATCCAGAGGGTTTTAAATAAATAGAGCTATAACTGAACATGTGGAAAAATCAAATATGACTGAGTATTTATTTGTATTTTGTTTTTTTATGTGGATTTAATTACTGTCTGTGGCAAGTAAATAACTTGGTAACATCTTTATATGTTTTGTGTTGAGGTCCAAGTGTCATTCCAAGTTCTTCACTATCTTCCTTAGTTTGATAGGCATTTTTAAAAAGTAGGGCAAAATTCATTCTACCCCCTTGTGGTTTGGTCATGTGTAGATGACCCCCTGACATTCAAATATAACCATATAACCCCAATGTGATTTTTTGACTAAAATGCAAAATTTTCCATCCAACTTAACTGTTCTTGTATGTCACGTGTTAGCTCCACAAATATCTTTGTAAAAACTCCATTTCTCACCCATTAAAATGACCAAAATGCCTATAATATTGTTCTTGATAATCTTGGTTAAAATTACTGCATATTTGAGTGAAAATTGGCACACGTAAATTATATAATTAGACATGGAATCATGGGACTTATATAGCCCCAATCTATTATGACAAGTTGGTTCAAGCCTTGTTCAGATTAGATTACCAATTGAAATTAATTACAAACCGTAGTTTCATGTAATCATGAGATTTAGTTTGGGTGGTTGTTCAATTCTCTCATTTAGAGTGAGAATTGATTAAAATCTTTTTATAAAAAGCCAAAAAGCCAACTAAAATAGCCAATTCCCAAATGGGGCCTCAATGTGTTCTTGGTTGAATTTTATGCCCTGTGATGAGAGAAATCATGATGTAAAGGATTTATGCAAAAACCACACCCAACATTACTGGTTTTGATAAAATTGGTCAATGAATTCATATACAAAATTGTCAAATATTAAATCCTTGTGTTCAAAATTTATTTTCAGACAACACTCAAGGGCTTGATTACGAACAATCTAGACTTTTGGGATAAAAAAGGACAAAACTCACTGTTTTAAGGTTTTTGGTGGTAGAGAACTCTTGGAATAGGAAATCCAGCCATCCAAGTTGCGTTTTCCAATGTGTTTGATTTAATCAGGTTTGAATCTATCTTACTTGGAACACGATTTGTTGTGGTACAGTGGGAATGTGGTGCGCAACTTACCCAAAATTGTGGTATTTGTATAGAGAGTATCTAAACACAAGTAAATTCCTTTCAAACATCAATAAAAAAATACATTTGTATTAATTTTTTTTATTTTTATGATATTAGATGTATTATGGTGAATTCCTCGGGAAAAAAAAGAAGTGTGTTCCACAGGTTAATCTTATAAGTGAGATTTTGAATGAGAGTTTCATAATCTTCTTCTATCCGAAGAAATGATTCATCGAAAAACATGAGTTGTCAGTTCTTCATTCATTGTGCCAGTTCTTTACTTGGGCAGTTAGAATCTTTTTGTTCCGTACTTTATATTATTTTTCAAGTTAATTATATAAAACACGTGTAAGTTCATTATGGCACATTTTTTATCTTGTCAGAACTCTACTCTATCTAAATTTTAGCTTGTTTTATTTGTTTTTTATTGTTAAGGAAATGAATAAGAAAAGCTTCGGGATCAACGTAAAACAATGCTGTACCATGTTTTGGAATGCTTGTCCCAAAACATATATTGCTATGGTATTAATGTTCTCTAGTAACACATATGGATCTTTATGGGCTTTAAAAGCCCTAATATTTCGTAGTTCAAATTAGTGCTTTAAAGAACAAATTTTGTATTGAAGTGTAGGGTTTCAGGTGGTGAAATTAGGTTTATTTAAGCTTTAAAGGGTTGAAGATGAAATTACAGTGAAAAATAGGTTTATTTTAGCTTTAAAGGTTGAAGATGAAAAATAGGTTTATTTAAGCCTTAGGGGTTGAAGACAAACTTGATATGGGGATATAATGGACTTTTTGTTGTAGCCGTTAACAATGTGAGCTGTGCCCTAGTCTAGAAATCACATGTTTTGTTATGTCGTTATATTTGAGTGTCAAAGGGTCCTTTGCACATGGACTAAACCATGCATCTAAGGGTTGGATTAGTTTAATCCACACATTAGGAAAAGTGAGCATGATTTTCACTGTTTTGTTTTAAAAGTTCTTTGTGTATAATATAAGGATTTTTTTACTCAGCATAGAGTCTCCATCCCAAGCACTACACTCTGGGAAATTACGTTGCCAAGGAATGCCAAACGGGGTCATGCTATGGAATTTCATTTAATCATTCATTCACTAATCTAAAAGAAGGGAAAAAATATCATTAAATTTAAATTAGTTCCTCTTTCACTTACAGTTGCCTTTGGACACATCAACCTATACCCGTACCTTTATCATGTTGTGCCCGTCAGAGTTACTTAAAATTTTTTGAAGTATGTGCCACACATAAGTTGTATTTCTGACTGTTCATTGGGGTAGCTAGCAAACAAATGTTTTCAAGACTTCATTCTTACTTTACATATTGTTTGTGCATTCAATCCGTCATTATTTTCCATTTTGTGTTGCTTATTGCAACCAACCATTTGTTTTTCTTTTCTGATAACCCCTTCCCTTCTTCCTTGTAATAATTTTGTAATGACAATTATTTGCTGGAGCAATATCAGTAGCCATCCCTTTGTGTGTGTGTGCGCGCGCTTCTCTCATACCCTAAGAATAACAAGAAATTTCATGAAGAGTTCTGTTAAAATTGATGTATAAAAAGAAATAGAGAATTGTATTATTGATTGATTTTTTTGATACATTTATGTCTATTACAAATGGTTTCTTATATAGATGTAGGTGTAGTGGATGGTGTGTAGTGGATGGTGATAGTGGTGTAGTGGGTTAGGTTTAGTGGAGTAGGTGAGGTGGTAGTGGTGGTAGGTGATGGTAAATTCTAACAGCCCCCCGCAAACTCAAGGAGGATAGAAACGAACCAACTTGAGTTTGAAGAGAGGAACAAAACAAGAAAATACATAAAAAAAAAAGGATAGGAGACACTGTATGGTCGTGTCAGACCATTGGTGAAGACACTGAATGGTGGTGTCATAACGTTGTAGAGGACACTGTATGAGGGTGTCATAACGTTGTAGAGGACACTGTATGAGGGTGTCATAACGTTGTAGAGGACACTGTATGAGGGTGTCATAACGTTGTAGAGGACACTGTATGAGGGTGTCATAACGTTGTAGAGGACACTGTATGAGGGTGTCATAACGTTGTAGAGGACACTGTATGAGGGTGTCATAACGTTGTAGAGGACACTGTATGAGGGTGTCATAACGTTGTAGAGGACACTGTATGAGGGTGTCATAACGTTGTAGAGGACACTGTATGAGGGTGTCATAACGTTGTAGAGGACACTGTATGAGGGTGTCATAACGTTGTAGAGGACACTGTATGAGGGTGTCATAACGTTGTAGAGGACACTGTATGAGGGTGTCATAACGTTGTAGAGGACACTGTATGAGGGTGTCATAACGTTGTAGAGGACACTGTATGAGGGTGTCATAACGTTGTAGAGGACACTGTATGAGGGTGTCATAACGTTGTAGAGGACACTGTATGAGGGTGTCATAACGTTGTAGAGGACACTGTATGAGGGTGTCATAACGTTGTAGAGGACACTGTATGAGGGTGTCATAACGTTGTAGAGGACACTGTATGAGGGTGTCATAACGTTGTAGAGGACACTGTATGAGGGTGTCATAACGTTGTAGAGGACACTGTATGAGGGTGTCATAACGTTGTAGAGGACACTGTATGAGGGTGTCATAACGTTGTAGAGGACACTGTATGAGGGTGTCATAACGTTGTAGAGGACACTGTATGAGGGTGTCATAACGTTGTAGAGGACACTGTATGAGGGTGTCATAACGTTGTAGAGGACACTGTATGAGGGTGTCATAACGTTGTAGAGGACACTGTATGAGGGTGTCATAACGTTGTAGAGGACACTGTATGAGGGTGTCATAACGTTGTAGAGGACACTGTATGAGGGTGTCATAACGTTGTAGAGGACACTGTATGAGGGTGTCATAACGTTGTAGAGGACACTGTATGAGGGTGTCATAACGTTGTAGAGGACACTGTATGAGGGTGTCATAACGTTGTAGAGGACACTGTATGAGGGTGTCATAACGTTGTAGAGGACACTGTATGAGGGTGTCATAACGTTGTAGAGGACACTGTATGAGGGTGTCATAACGTTGTAGAGGACACTGTATGAGGGTGTCATAACGTTGTAGAGGACACTGTATGAGGGTGTCATAACGTTGTAGAGGACACTGTATGAGGGTGTCATAACGTTGTAGAGGACACTGTATGAGGGTGTCATAACGTTGTAGAGGACACTGTATGAGGGTGTCATAACGTTGTAGAGGACACTGTATGAGGGTGTCATAACGTTGTAGAGGACACTGTATGAGGGTGTCATAACGTTGTAGAGGACACTGTATGAGGGTGTCATAACGTTGTAGAGGACACTGTATGAGGGTGTCATAACGTTGTAGAGGACACTGTATGAGGGTGTCATAACGTTGTAGAGGACACTGTATGAGGGTGTCATAACGTTGTAGAGGACACTGTATGAGGGTGTCATAACGTTGTAGAGGACACTGTATGAGGGTGTCATAACGTTGTAGAGGACACTGTATGAGGGTGTCATAACGTTGTAGAGGACACTGTATGAGGGTGTCATAACGTTGTAGAGGACACTGTATGAGGGTGTCATAACGTTGTAGAGGACACTGTATGAGGGTGTCATAACGTTGTAGAGGACACTGTATGAGGGTGTCATAACGTTGTAGAGGACACTGTATGAGGGTGTCATAACGTTGTAGAGGACACTGTATGAGGGTGTCATAACGTTGTAGAGGACACTGTATGAGGGTGTCATAACGTTGTAGAGGACACTGTATGAGGGTGTCATAACGTTGTAGAGGACACTGTATGAGGGTGTCATAACGTTGTAGAGGACACTGTATGAGGGTGTCATAACGTTGTAGAGGACACTGTATGAGGGTGTCATAACGTTGTAGAGGACACTGTATGAGGGTGTCATAACGTTGTAGAGGACACTGTATGAGGGTGTCATAACGTTGTAGAGGACACTGTATGAGGGTGTCATAACGTTGTAGAGGACACTGTATGAGGGTGTCATAACGTTGTAGAGGACACTGTATGAGGGTGTCATAACGTTGTAGAGGACACTGTATGAGGGTGTCATAACGTTGTAGAGGACACTGTATGAGGGTGTCATAACGTTGTAGAGGACACTGTATGAGGGTGTCATAACGTTGTAGAGGACACTGTATGAGGGTGTCATAACGTTGTAGAGGACACTGTATGAGGGTGTCATAACGTTGTAGAGGACACTGTATGAGGGTGTCATAACGTTGTAGAGGACACTGTATGAGGGTGTCATAACGTTGTAGAGGACACTGTATGAGGGTGTCATAACGTTGTAGAGGACACTGTATGAGGGTGTCATAACGTTGTAGAGGACACTGTATGAGGGTGTCATAACGTTGTAGAGGACACTGTATGAGGGTGTCATAACGTTGTAGAGGACACTGTATGAGGGTGTCATAACGTTGTAGAGGACACTGTATGAGGGTGTCATAACGTTGTAGAGGACACTGTATGAGGGTGTCATAACGTTGTAGAGGACACTGTATGAGGGTGTCATAACGTTGTAGAGGACACTGTATGAGGGTGTCATAACGTTGTAGAGGACACTGTATGAGGGTGTCATAACGTTGTAGAGGACACTGTATGAGGGTGTCATAACGTTGTAGAGGACACTGTATGAGGGTGTCATAACGTTGTAGAGGACACTGTATGAGGGTGTCATAACGTTGTAGAGGACACTGTATGAGGGTGTCATAACGTTGTAGAGGACACTGTATGAGGGTGTCATAACGTTGTAGAGGACACTGTATGAGGGTGTCATAACGTTGTAGAGGACACTGTATGAGGGTGTCATAACGTTGTAGAGGACACTTAGGCCTCGTTTGGCAAGAGGCTATTTTAGCCAATTAGCCAAAAAGTTACTAAATTAGCCAAAAAGCCAACAACCCATACCAAAAAGTCAAAGATTCTCTTTTCTCTCTACTTTTTGCACATCTTTTCGTAATTAGCCAAAAAGTCATCCCAAACATACAAGTTTTTTTTACCTATCTTTTTAGCCAAATAGCCAAAAAATTACTAAATTAGCCTGTTCCCAAACGAGGGCTTAATAAGGAGATTTTCTAAGTGCCACAACGACCATATACAGTAGTAGGAACTCTTCGTGACCAGTTAATCTATCCCCTTACTGCAGATCAAGAGGCTGAGCCACTGACACACAGTGAAATGGTTGAATTGTTGAAAAATATAAGAAATTTAGCCATGTCATTTTCATTTAGTCTCTCTTGCCATGGTACTCAGTCATCTCTTGACTCTTAAAGAAGTCATAAATTCAACTTGGATTGACTTTTAGTGGAAAATTTTTGTCATTTTACTAGATTGATCTTGAGTACTTATTAGATCGTTACTCGTCTGAAATAGAGATAAATTGGGGTGATGAACTATCTTTGGGAGAACAACAAAGATTGGGAATGGCCAGACTCTTTTACCATAAGCCCAAATTTGCTATTCTTGATGAATGCACCAGTGCCGTGACAACTGACATGGAGGAGCGCTTCTGTGCCAAGGTCAGAGCAATGGGACCATCTTGCATCACCATATCCCATCGCCCCTGTACTAGTGGCATTTCATGATGTGGTTCTGTCCTTGGATGGTGAAGGAGGCTGGCAGGTTTATTACAAGAGGTTAGATTTTTGGGTTGGTGATTCATATTGTCCATGTTTGTTCGCTGTACGAACTGCTAATATTTGTTTTTATAACACTGTTCTGGAATCTTCAGGGAGGATTCTGCAGTTCTTGGTGAAGCTGGGGTCAATATGATGAAACCTTCTGAAACAGAACGCCAAAGTGATGCTATGGCAGTTCAACGTGCATTTGCCAGTGCAAAAAAGGTATTGTGCATAAGAAAGGGCTAAAAAATCACACGTTCTTTTATTATGGAATTGCTTTTTTCTTTTCTTTTTATTTTATTTTATTGGATCTAACTTTGAATTTTCAATTTTATTGGATCACACGTTCTTTTCTTTTTCTTTTCTTTTCATTTTATTTTATTTTCTTTTCTTTTGGTTGTTACCTTATATCTAGGATTCTTCAATCTCAAATTCAAAGTCACAATCATATGTTTCGAAGCTAATAGCAGCATCCCCCCCTGTGAATCATGATGTTCCATTGCCCCTAGTTCCACAACTCCAAACTGCTCCAAGGTTATTGCCGTTGAGAGTAGCTGCCATGTTTAAAATACTGGTGAGTGCCTTTAGCTGCAAGAACACATCTCTCTCTCTCTCTACTGTAATATTTTTTAAAGTTCTCGTCTGGACTTTATGCAATGATTTATTAGCCCCAAACCTTGCATTCACCGTCACCTTCCATAAATGTTCAAGGTACTTGTGTTCATATGCATTCTGCTTAAAGTCGAATGTTTTGCGGTTATGCTTGTTGGTGTCAGTTCTGGATTTGTGATGCGAGAGCTGCGACCTCAAAAGCATTGATTCCACTATGCTTTCTTGGCTTAATACATGTCACAGCTGTTGCTTGTTTGTCTCTGGATGTCTCTCTGTTGTCCCCATAGGAATGTTACATTTTACTGGTGATTTTCAAATTTATAAGAACTTGTGTTGTCTCACGTCATTGATAGAAGGCATTAGACTGCCCTGGGAACCTGAGATTAGTTGATAAAGCACTGCGAGCATAATTGTAGGGTCAGTGATGCATACAAAGTGGTGGATGGTGATGATTTATATAACTGATGTTGGTAATGATGCTGGCTGGTATGAGGTTGACTAAGAATTTGTAAAAGATCCTTTAGTTACTGGTCATCATAAGCCACTGATTGCTGATCAATATGAGTGTTTCATTTTTTCCCTTTCTGATATAATTAAATCTAATAATGTTTGTTATTCAATTAAGTGGAGGCTTTTGTTTTTCAATTAAGTTAATTTAGTTACCTTCATTTCTTATGCTAGGCTGAACTAGTGAGGAGTTAAAAACATATCATAGCACTTGAAAAAAACAAACAGGGTTCAGCTATCTGTAATTTTATTTTATTCTTTTCCAGCTTGATTTCTTAGCAACATAAGAATAATTTGTTGTTTTCTGGAAATTATGAACCAAGTACTGCATTGTTTACCTAGTACTCGATCTGTGCCATCTTGCTATGGTAGGCACAAGAAAAATCCGAAAGATGCTGATTTCTCTCTCTCTCTCTCTCTCGCCTTCCCTCCTCCCCCATTCCTTGTTGCATATAAAATATTGAGTTCCTTGAAAATAGTTTTTAGCATATAAAACATTTTCTTGTTCAAAAATACCCAAGGGCAAGTAGTGTATCTCAAAATTGAAGAAACAGATTCTGTACTCAGAATCTCTTTTCTAAGTTTTTTAAGTCTATGTTCTGCCTTCTTTGTTGTTCCTATAGCACACTTTGGTTGGCTTGCCATCATCTTGTTTTTTTGAGCTTCAGGGGTGAGTCCCCAGCTCCAACTTGTTGATGTGTGACTAAACAATTCCAGATATATATATCTCTTGACATTTATCTTTATGTTCTTCTCAAAGTGTTCTTGTTCCTTTTTGTTGCCATAGGAACATCTGAAGTATTTCCATTTTGTATTGAATTGTAAAGAAACAAGGATTAAAATCAAAATTCAAAGTATTTCTCAAAACAAAGTTGTGTCAATCTAAGCATGCTGTAAAATGGTTGAAATATAACAGTTCTGAAATTTTTTGTTTGTCTTATCATCTAAGATGGAGGACATTAAAAGGCTATATTCATTTATCCAAACAATAAAAAGGGAGTAGCCTGTTGAGGAAATTGAAAGCTAACAATGCAACAAAATATTTTAGTAAGTATATCTTCACTTATTAATATACTTCACTACTCTGATAAAAAAAAGGGGATATACTTCACTACTCTGATAAAAAAAGGGGGAAGGGGGGGGAGGACTTTACTGCTCTTTATTTGAATTTATAAATATTTCATTGTTTCCATTACTTATCTGAAATGTTGACATATCTGAGCCAAATGAAAACTGCATTCTTACACAAAGTTTTGATCTTTGCTTGCTGGTCGTTCTTAGGTACCCACAGTGCTTGATAAGCAGGGAGCGCAACTCCTTGCAGTTGCTGTACTTGTGATTTCGAGAACTTGGATATCAGATCGCATTGCCTCTCTAAATGGTATTCTTTTCTTTTTTATTTTCCTAAATTAGTTAAACTTTATGATGTTCTTGGAAATTGAAAAGCTTTTGTGATTTAAATGCGTTGGTTTTTTCAGGGACGACCGTAAAGTATGTTTTAGAGCAAGATAAGGCGGCCTTCACTCGGTTGATTGGTGTTAGTATTCTTCAGAGTGCTGCATCTTCTTTTGTTGCACCTTCTTTGAGGTAAACTATACATTGAACGTTTTCTTAATTTCCAACCAAATCACATCACTTAATACCCACAAAAATGAAGTACAAAAACCTTCTAAAGACTCCATGAGAATTCCTATATTACTAAAGACGTTTTGCTAATGGGAATCGTTATTTGCTACTTTTTAACTAAAACTTGTGATTGCATCATTGCATGGCATCAGCATGAGTCTTTTTTAGTCTTGAGAATGTGAATGAATTGTAAGGGCACGTTCAGATCTGTTATGGAAAACTTTTTTATTTTTAATGGGTTCAGTTGTTGAATTGGCTTATGTAATAGATTGTTTTTAAGAACACTCTGATCATCTAACATTAATGAACAAACTGGACCTGAAGATCATTACTGATCTTAAGTTTTTTGTCACATAATGCAGGACTTCATCTCAATGCCAATTGTTTAATATTTAATTTATTATTTCTTGTTTCATAGGCACTTGACAGCAAAGCTTGCCCTCGGATGGAGGATTCGATTGACACAACATTTACTAAAGAACTACTTGAGAAATAATGCATATTACAAGGTAATCAAATAGGAATCCCTTGTCCAATTAATTTGACTCAGTTTGAACTTAGATTTGGATCTTTTTCTTTGCTTGGAATTTGCTTAATTTGTCATTGAATATGCTTCCACGGGATTTACAGTTTTTTTTATCTTGTTATACTTTTTGAAGAACTTTTTCAAAGCATAGAGTGCTCGCAACAAACTATCTTGTGCATGTGGATAGTTTTAATTGTAATCTGAATTCCAGAAAAGTTTTGGCTTCTGCTTTAATGCTGTATGATCTGTTTGTTGCTTCTAAAAACTTAGGCTGCCAAACATCTAAGATGTTGTCAAACCAATGGAAAATCTACATTTTTGTAGGTATTCCAGATGTCAAGCATGAATATCAATGCAGATCAGAGAATAACTCAAGATCTGGAGAAGTTAACCGGTGACTTGTCAGGGCTGGTTACTGGAATGGTAAAGCCAACTGTTGACATTTTATGGTGAGTGTGTGCAATTATAATTGAGTCTATTCTGTTTTTGGGTGGTGAGCCAGCACTTGCCATGGCTTCATTAGCAGATGTTGATATGGGGAAATATGAATACATTTTCTTGATCCCTTCAATAATCTTAATTAATGCTTCAATTCCTTAGGTTCACCTGGAGAATGAAGCTGCTGACTGGAAGGAGGGGAGTTGCTATTTTATATGCTTATATGTTACTGGGTCTGGGTTTTCTAAGGAGTGTTGCTCCTGATTTTGGTGATCTGGCAAGTCGAGAGCAACAACTTGAAGGAACCTTTAGGTCATTTTGTTTTATTTACGGCTACTTATTTATTTATTTATTTATTGCTGATTTAGAGCTATGTTGCTGTGAACATCAATCTGACATTATATCATGCATTAATTAGGTTCATGCACCAGAGATCACGTACCCATGCTGAATCTATTGCTTTCTTTGGGGGTGGTGCTCGGGAAAAAGCGGTAGGATTCTTGAATGTTACAATATTATATATGTTTCAAATTTAGATCGTGAAATAATGTTCATGAGTTACCACTTTTGTTTTTATATATATATTGTCTGATATTTCTGGCAAGCATTCTTGAATGCCTAATTTCTGTAGTGCTCTTTGTGACAAGCAGATGGTTGAATCAAGATTTGAGGACCTTCTTGATCACTCTAAGTTACTTCATCAGAAGAAATGGCTATTTGGTACACTTGATGATTTCATCAAAAGCAGCTCCCACATAATGTTACTTGGGCTTTGAGCTTGTTATATGCTATGGAACACAAGGGGGATCGGGCCTTGACTTCCACTCAAGGTTACTTTAAGTAGATAATATTTTGTTGAACTGGAGCAATAATAATGTATTTCTTAACAAAATGAAGTTTGCCTGTTTTGTACTTTATTTTGTTTCAGGTGAACTGGCTCATGCACTGCGTTTCTTAGCATCTGCTGTATCTCAAAGCTTTTTGGCTTTTGGTGACATTCTTGAACTGCATAGGAAGTACCTCGAGCTCTCTGGAGGTATTAATCGAATTTTTGAGCTGGAAGAGCTTCTAGATGTTGCTCAAAAAGGTGCGTCTCTTGTCTCTTCTATTTTTTAGCATGGTTGTTTTCCATAATGTAACTTATTTTTCAAGCTTTTTGTATTGAAGTTAGATCTCTTTAAATTCTTTTTTTATGTTTTTTGGCATCTTTTTAGAGTTTCTGGTGAATTTATATTGGACCACAAGTAATATTACCTCTTACACCAGGGTTCTTTAGACAAAAGATTCATCTTTCTATTTCATACAATGGGGCATTTCACTTGCATGTTAGGCCAATAGAATCTTATTCGGAAAATTGTTTGGCACGCCCTTTTTTTCAAGTAAAAGAAAATAACTTTTTATGACCCCACAAGTGTGTAATTCCTGAAACGCAATATTGATTTTTGATGAAAATTTTATTTGTGTGTTTTTTGGTCACTTTCAGTTGCCTTGCTGATAACAACCCTTGCTTTTTCTATCAGTTGTTTAGTTGAATCTATCTTATTTTTTCTTGATAAAGTTACTTGAGAGTGATGCATTCTTGCTGACAAAATCGGTGCTCGTGCAGATAATCCTGTTGCTCTCATTGAATCACCGACTAATTTGACAGAATCTCAATCTAATGATCTCATTTCCTTCTCCAAAGTGGGTATTATTAGCCCATCTCAGAAACTGTTGGCTAGGAAGTTGACTTGTGACATACTACCAGGGAAAAGCCTGCTTGTTACTGGTTAGTGTAATATTCTTTGTTGATCTTTTAATGTAAATACAAATCTGACAAGTCTGCAATTTTGAAGGTCCAAACGGGAGTGGAAAAAGTTCAATCTTCAGAGTCCTTAGAGGTCTTTGGCCCATTGTAAGAGGAAGACTTGTTAAACCGCACCAACAGCTCGATGAGGATGCTGGATTCGGCTGTGGTGTCTTTTATATACTGCAGCGACCTTATACATGCTTGGGAACCCTAAGGGATCAAGTCATATATCCACTCTCCCTTGAGGAAGCAGAGCAAAGGACATTACCTTTGTACAGAGAAGGTTAGTTGGTATAAATATCTAGTCATTACATTCAAGGTTGTTAAAATCGGGATCCTACGTTGGATCGTTGGAGGTGTTTATAGGATCAAATCGTAAAATCAGATTGAGGATCGTATGATCCTACCGAAAAAAACAAATTACGTAATAATTTAATTTAAATAAACATTTCTTAAAAAGTATACATAAAATGAGCATATATTCTATTAAAAAAAAGTGAAGATATTGTGAAAAATATAATACTCCATATAAAATGTACATATAATATTATATAATAGACAACTCGATGGTAAAAGTTTTGTATTTCATCAAAAAAGAAGGTGAAGAAGAAGAATTCTATAACAAAATACTTTACAATCTACAATAATGCATAAAAAGTGAAGAAAAAATATTTAACAAAGTTGAATATGAA